GCCACCCAACGCAACCCACCCCATAGCACCCCCAATTTAACCCATCCGACCCGAGGTGGCAGCCTCTGCACTGTCTGCAGAGCAGAGCCCAGATGCTGGATCTTGCCGAACATCCATCGTTCCAACCATTCATCTGCCTTTCCAAGCCCATGTCTATTCCATCTTCAGGGACTGGCGGGTCACAGTGGCTACCAATAGCAGCGAATACCCTATCGCTACTTACGCTCTGGAGGCCCTCACCGGAGACCAGGTGGTAATCCGCATGTACTCTTCCGTCTCATTGGCAATTGCTCCCACCCCCATAGCTACCCGATGACGTCGAGTACCTCCGACTTCGACGACGATGCCCGCATCCCCCGCCAGGTTTATGCCAACGGCCTTCAGTGCTTGAAAGAGCTTGTTGCCCCGACGCCCTTCCCGGCTTCGACAGTGTTGCCTCCCGCCGTGCCGCCCAATGTCGGCGTCTGCCGCCCACTGCCACCGCACAGCACCACGCCACGCCTTCCCACCCTCTAAGACTACGTACCATCGTGAGGACCCTTCAAAATGCCGTCAATGAGCTGCTCCAACCAATGCCGGGTTCATCCCGTTTCCATAATTAGCACCAAATCCTCTCTCGTCATGCAGGGACACACAGCGCCCGTTCCCCAAGTCAGAAATGTCGTGTCTCCTCACCCGGACCTGTTGTCCAACGACAACCGAGTGGGATTTGCGGAGAAGACCTGCCTCGGACACGGCTTTGGCATCATCTCTACTGGCTGCATCGCATTTCTTCCTACCTCAACGCACTCTGTACGCAATACCTAGTCGACCTTTGGGGGTGGCGCAGAACCACACGACTTCGTCATCAAAACCAGCCCATTTGCCTCAGCTCGCCCAATAACAACTGACTTCCGGCTTGCCCTGTTTACCGTCGCATTTTTCGGGGCAACTCACAACTGGCTCTTGGCCGGAGAGATCCCTGATCTACGCCTATCTACAACACAACTGCAGGAAATGAAACAGGCTAATTGTTGAAACGGAGGATTCTTGTCTTTGCAAAGCTGGTGGTCTGCAGGGCTGAATGCCTATGGCGAACCCTTGCCCGTCCATACGAGCCCCAAATCCCATGCACCATGACAACTTCACCTCCTTGATAGGCAACGGTCGAATCCACACTTTAAACCTGTTGTTCAGGTTCCGAGGAACGCGGGGTAGAAGGCGATGGAAGGAGGGGCATAGCCACACTCTTGTTCATCCATCATGCGCTCACATGACTGTACTTCTAATACAATAGCGTGCTGACTTTGTGCGCTTCGTAGCTTGTCCGTGGCAGCGCAAGTGTGGAGGTTCGGAGCTGTCGGGAGGATGCTCTCTCTCTCTCTCTCTCTCTCTCTCAACTTGGCAGTTGGAAGACTAGGGTACCTATTTGTGGATACGCGGCATTCGTGATTCCAAGTTCTTCATCAGGACTTGACTACATGGCTTCCTTGGTTCTTGGTTCTTGGTTCGATTGACAGCTCGGAGCTGATTTTGGAAATGATTTTGGGTTGATTTTCACGAGACACGTGCGAGTGATCGACGACGATGACGGGAGAAGTTGTCTCGCTTGATTTTTGGAGGCGAGCTCAACTTTTTGACTGCAATGCACGTGATAGTGAGGGGGTGGGGGTCGTTCCAGAGGCACTACCATTGACATTGATCGATCATGCCTATCAATGCGTATTCCAAGAAAAGAGCTTTGAACTGGGCTACGCGCAAGAAGCGTATCGTAGAGCTTGCCTTGCATTCCTTTGCGGTAAGTCATCTGATACAGAATCTACTAAGGTCAATTCTCGTCAGGGGGCGGACATCTATCGTCATGATATTGTGGAAATCCCAAGAGAGGCAAGGCCCATGATGTGTAATATTCTGAAGGGTCTGAAGTCTTGTTCTCCATCTTACCCTTAACTTGCTAATCCTTACACATGAAGATTCATTCGACAAAATGGAAATTTTCGTGGTAGGAACTAGTCTGCTTGAACTCATCCTCCATCGTACAAGCAACTTGAGAGGTAGAAGCTAAGCGAGCCCGGAATAAGTGAAAGGGATAATAGCAAATCCACAATATCCCCAATATATTGTTTCAACGCGGACACAGAAGACTTCGTGGCCGGAATCGATTTCGAAACAGCAAGATGTCCCCAAACTTCTAACCATCATGGCAGACTACACCGAATGATAATGCGGCTAGCCAACTCATCACAATCAGACGTAATATATATACATATATATAAAATAAAATAAAAAGAGAAAAAGATACACACGAAAAAGGGGGATGATACTCTTTCACACATTCTCAAATCAAGTTCGCATCCTTCTCCATATTGAGAATCCACTAGGGAGCGGCAGATGTGTCTATCCAGATGCAGCTCTCGCTGCCTCACCTAGCGCCCAGCCAGACAATGCTAGACAATGCCGTTCGTTAACGAAAGCCCAGCTAGTATCTCAAGACCTGGCTTTTGCTCAAGGGCTTTAGCTCAGAATCTTACTGAGGTGAAGACGGCCATGTGTGACCCAGTAACATCAAACGCCCATAGAACAAATATATCCTTGAGTATTATTTGTAAATCTAGAGCCAGACTTCTAAGCACTCTAAGCACGCTTGCATAGCTTTATACAATTCATATTTCAGACCTATTCCAATATATTACAGACAAGAAGATGAATCCCCCACCCCAGGGACATCCATAAGAACGACATCTCGAATCTCGTTACTCATCATCAGCCGGGGACGCCACTTCTTCAGGCGCCCGAGACCACTTTAAAAAACTATTCCAACTTTGATGACAAAGTAAATTTGCAACTCTACTGTCACAAGCGCCCATTTATTGACTTTAGACGAGTGGGAAAACTGTATAGACTGGACTGCTGAGTCAGGTATTCAGTGACGAATTGCTCACGACAGTAAGGGACGAGGGGCCTGCGTGTCTCGTGGCGATCACCTGGTCCTCTAGGGATTGGCCATTGAGAAACATCTTTTGCTTAAAGCTCTTTATCAGAAGACAACATCTCAAATACAGTTTAGAAGAAACTCGTGCGATTAACAGAGCTAACATAGAGATGAGCTGTTCTCGTCAGATGTCGCTTCACTTACACGGAAGGGCAGAGGAGGCCCACTTTTTGGGATCGGCGTCTTTGAGTGTGGCCTGTGCGCCCGGCACTTGGAGGGGTGAGCTTCAGCCACGGTGGCTTGACTTCGCGACGACATCATCAGCTTTCCAGACACATGTCCAGCAATCCCCGATTCTACAAAACCCGACCAAAATCGATTCCACCCGAAAGCGCCGTGAGCCTACGCGAAAGACCCCGGAGAAAGACATAATGGCTCGACTATCATCGGCGTCACCATTCACCGCCGGCGGCGCAACCCCTGAGAAGGGCGCAGCCGAGCTTAACCAACTCCTGCGACGACTCGACCACTCGATCCTCCATGCCGATCAGAGCCGCGAGCGCAGGTTACGGGCTAGCGAATTTGAGCGAGCAAGACTGAACTCGGTATGGGATTTTTGATGGAAGGCCAATACAGCGCCGTGCTTTTGTGCTCACACAGGAATTATCTTTATGCAGAACCTCGAATATGCCCGGAGTCTTCTTACTAGAGTAGAGCAGGAGGCGCTGCACGTCAAGCTGCTCTCTCGGAGGCAAGATATGCAGGTAGACCTGAACCGTAAACGCGAACTTCTCGAAAGGCTGGTGGACAGGATGCATGATCTCGAACAGGTGCGCTCTCTTTGACCCCCTCCAGGCGGAGGGGTACGGCGAATTTCCATGGGTCGTTGCTGACACCTGCGCAACAGTTACACGAGGATGAGGATGAGAACAGTTCAGATGGAGAGGACGTCCTGGCCGATATCATTCCGACACCGAGCGAGAGCATGGACTCGCGATCAACAGATATACCCACAGACAACACCCCCGAAGACGACGACGATGAACCAGAAATACCGGACCTGCCTCCGCCAGTATCGGCTGTCCCAAGAGAACCGTCAGAGGCGCCAACGGCACCAGCACGATCAGCAACAGAACCATCACCAGCACCACAAACACACTCTCCCCCTGACGCGGGCACAACGACAACGCAGACCCTCCGCTCCCGCGGCCCGGCACGCCCAGACTCGCCCTCCGCAACAACGACAGCCACAGCCCGCGCAGCCCTCTTCGCCTCCCGCCGCTCCAACACCATGAAATCCTCGGCCTCCGGACCCGCGTCGTCGACGGCGACGGCCGAGGCGATCCTGGACCACCAGCGCGCGGAGCAGGACGCGCTCTCCGAGTCGATCCTCAAGATGGCCAGCGCGCTCAAGGCCAGCTCGCAGAAGTTTTCGAGCACCCTCGAGCAGGACAAGGGCGTGGTGTCGCGGGCGGCGGACGGGATGGATAAGACGGAGAGGTCGATGGACGCTGCGAGCCGGCGGATGGGCACGCTGCGGAAGATGACGGAGGGAAAAGGGTGGTGGGGGAGGATGATTTTGTATGCTTGGGTGTATGGGCTCATGGTCGCCTTGATCCTCTTGGTGTTTGTGATGCCGAAGCTGCGGTTTTGAGACGCTTATGGTGTAGTAGGTATGAAAAGGCCTAGCACCTGTTTTGCGAAGATTCAGAATGTTTTTGGCAACCTGTCTACAGGGGCGTTGGGATAACAAATGGGGCTCCATCTCTGAGTCAGTTACGAGGGGGGCATGGCACAAGCGGCACTACCAAATGCAAAGATGATTCGTCTTTATTTTTCCATCTTCTTTTGATCAAACCGGTTGTCCTCATTCTACCTATCTCGCCAAGTCTGCTGGTGTACCAAACTGCTCCCTCCTGCCCAGGGACTCCTTCACAGCCCAATCCAAGCCGCACACAACGCAAAAGCTAGCACACTGAACCCCCGAACGGAGCCGCTCTGTCCATTCCCCACCGACGCCGAGTGTTCCAGTGCCATCGCAGTCGAAGGCGAGGGCTTCGGGACCCCGAACGTTGACGTCTTTATTGGTCTACTCGTCGAAGATACCGGGGGTGTCGTGGCCGTCGGGGTAGCGCAGGGTTTCGCAGACGCGATCTGGGGCCTGGAGGAAGTAGCCGAAGCCAAAGACGACGACGATAATGCTGATGATGAAGGTGGTGGTAGCGGGTCCGTGACGAACGTGGGCCACGTATTCGCCGCGAGGGTCTGGATAAATTTGGTCTTAAAGTCGGCGCCGAAGCAGGCCAGGCCCGTTCTCTGGCTTTCGCCTGAGCCGCGGAGGAGGGTGCCGCAGACGGGGCTTTCTGTGTTGCTTTTGCGAGGGGGGGGAGGTTGTTTTAGTGTGTCTGAGATGGGATTGAAATCGGAAAAGGGGGGCAAATGGTAGAACGAAGATGGAGAAGGAGAAAGGTTGTAATGGTGAAAAAGGGTTAGTTCGACGTACCAGCAGAGCGTCCTCTCCCCGTTCTGCGTCTTGCCGCTGCAGATTGGGTCGGCGGGGCCTGGACAGGTCGAGTAGAGGCTCCCGCAAAGCCATCTGCCCGTGTTGTGGCATGCGATACTGGAGGTTCCGGCGCCGGCTGTGCAGGTGACTAAGGCGAGTTCTGAAAAGAGGTTGATGAAACTTTACGTTAGTCCTAGGTCCTTGTTTTACTCTCCTGGCCCGAGCCATTCCACACCTCCTCTTCTCCCTCTTCCCGGAGACGGCAATACTCGGGGGAGAAATATCCGGGCAGGCATAATGTAAAGATCATGATGAAAGCACAACTAACCTCTCCCCGCTCTGAAGAACCCGCACGTCTCCTTTCCAGTGCCTTCTGAGACGACCTGTCTCGGTGTCGGGACTCCGGGTCGCTGTTGGTCTAGCAGGCCGCTGTTCTTCGACCCGTCGAGCGGGAGACTTGCGCTCTCTGTCGGCACGACGATGGCGAGGGCGATGGGGTCCGCTGTGGTTGGAGACGGGAGGGTGCCGGCGAAAGCGAGTAGGATAGAGCGGCCCCTCATGTCGAAGAACGAAGAAAAGCAAGCAATGGAGAGGCTGAGAGACATGCCCTGAAAGATGGACGGGCCATTCTGAAGTAGGAGACGCACAGAAGGCCATCCTGACTTGGTACATATAAGTCAGGAGGCCCTTGGCATCTTTTTTTTAAGGACCGACTTGGGCGTTTTTGAGGTTCAAAGGTGGCTTAAACTGGAATAGAAATGATTAAAGTAGAAGCAAACATGTACAGTGAAAGACACAAGCGAAGTGAGTTGCCCTTGCGTATGTTCGAATCGAGACCGAAAATGAACGGGAACTACGTCTCTTTGTTCATCTTATCGCTTCCTCTGCCCTTATTTCACGCAAACATTCGGCTAGGGTTTTCAAGGGCGGACTAATTCTCTGTTATGTTGCTTGGTACCGAACCTCATGAATGGCTGTCGAGGCCTTGTCTATGGCCACGCGCTCTTGAAATAGCAACGATTAGGACCAGGCGAATACACGAGATGTGCCTAGCCGTCGAAGACGAAATCATCATGTTACCGAGCTCAAAGAGCGTGCAAACAGGTCTTAACTTACTCAACATGGCTAGACTTCGTCCATCTGGGAGATATGTATTAGAAGTTTCTCCATGGGATGTTCATGGTATTACATGCGTATTTGAATCCAGTATCAATACCGGTAAGATGCGAGGTAACATATAGATAGACAACCGTTATTAATTTCTAATCAGCGGTATCTCTGCTTGCAGGATTAACACTTATACTAGAGAAGAAAAGCATGATAATTCATTTCCGTCAGACCGCTTGACCCGCCAGGGCCTTTCGCATAGAACCAGATGCTGGAGAAACATTCAAGATCGCCACATCGTCGAGCAGTTCAACTCAGCCCAACTCAGCCGGTTTCATCGCGCTTCCTATAGAATCGTTCGCCGGCGCCTGAAACACATCCCGATGCGCAGACGAGGACGCGGGTGACGTGGGCGACAAGGGCTGATAGTTCCACTGCTCTCCCTCTTTCGGACTCGTCGGAGACACACACGGCTGGTCGCCGGCGAGCTCATGGCTAGGGGACGGCGAGACGTGACCGCCGCCCCTCGATTCTCCACCGACCGACGACGCCCGTCTCCGTCTCACAACGAGCCATGTGGCTACGCAGCCGGCGATGGCGAGGATGGTCACGCTACCGAGGACACCGCCGACAATGGCACCCGTCTGATTACCGCTAGATGGAGCAGCGCCGCCACCACCGCCGTTGGAAGGTTCTGGCGTCGGTGCGCTTGTCGAAGAGGCTGTCGAAAGTGTCGGGCCTGATGGGACGGAGGGGTTTGGCGTGTCGTCTGAGACTGTGGAGGAGGAGCCTGGCACGGATGTGGTTCGCGTATCTGCCGAAGAAGAAGAAGATGTGGTGGTAGCGGGAACTGGAGGAAGCAAATTGCTTGACGCGGTATACAGGTAGACGAGGGAATCCCACGGCAAGCCCTTCTCGCGACATCCCCAGAGTGTCTTGTCTTGGGCACCCTCTTTCCGGCGGAACTCCTGACACTCCCCGTTAAAGCTGTTTGTCGACGTGCTATAAGATTTCCGGACACTGTTAGTGTCATCTTTCATCCATCCAAGAATATGATGGGGGAGGTGATATACGAAGTTGCCTTGAGGGACGGGGGGACGTACCAGCACAATGTATCCCTTCCGCGAGTCTGAGATGGAAACGGACTGCACATGGAGTGACCGTGAGGCAAACAAGCGGTTGCTAGGGCCGCTCCACAGGCTAGATAGTCGTTTTGGATAGTGCAGCGGGTGTCTTCATCGCAAGTGCGCGATCGTATCACTGAGGCAACCGAAAGAGATATTCATCAGCATACCGTTCAGACCAGGATTCTCGGATGGTGGTTCTGTATACCAAGGGGCGGGATTGACGTTTTTATGTGGAAATCAAAGAGAGAATACTAACCCAGACCAGTTTCTTTAGAGAGTGTGAATAAGCCGCAGGTGTTTGGGCCTATGGTCACGGCCGTGGTGAGGGGTCTCTGCTCCAGTCTCTTTGCGACGGCATCTGAATTCATGAACACCGGCGTGAGTTGCGGTCGTGGCCATGGTTTTGCCCTCAGTAATGCGAGAATGCTGTCGTCGACTCCGAGCTCAGTCGATGGCTCTGACAGGTTAGGACGCCAGAATCCAAAGCTTTCCGCCGTCGGTATACTGGCCGCAACGATGAGGAGCAGAACCGAGAGGGTCTGCATCTTTGAAAGTTCGACCAGAAAAAGTACTCAATGAATATGAGAGAATATGAATTTGTTGGGGCGGATTCAATGACGAGGCAAGGAAAAAGAAAATCGAAGATGTGACGAAACAGATGGCAAATCGACGCGGAGGCTGGCAAAAAGGGGTTGCTCTTGGTTTTATACACAGCTTTGGCCATGCGTCTTTGTTCCTCTCCCATGAGAACAGTAATCATTTAAGGCGGAAAATTTGATGGAAGGGCTGTTTGTGGTATGTTCGATCGCGAGCTTGATCCGAGCTGTGCTCATTTCCCTTCTTTAAGAGGGAGGGTAGTACAAACACGCCCTCGTGGTGTTTGCCTCTATGTTTCTTCTCATCTGCTGGAGGGCAAACAATCTCTCGACCAGTCACTCGGCCCTCACTTGATTTTGACACTACAAGGTCCGTTTGGTACTATGCTTGTTGAAAAGTTTGTGGTACCGGATCCTAAATCGCCTCTCCCTTCCCCCCTTGCTGTTAGGAGATTTGGTCGAGCACTCCCACTTACTTGAACTTTGGAGGTATTGCAAGTCGCCGAGTCTTTAAGTAGGGCAGTATTGATACGTGAAGACGATCGTATCTTGCGTTTATTGGCGAAGCGATGAAATAAGTCCAACGCTGCATCACATCCCGCTCCACATCATTGTTGTTCCTCACAGATAGCCATCCATTTTGTCACCAATCATGAACCGATTTTTTTCGCAACCCTCATGAGAGTATGTCAGGGCACTAATTCTTGCTGCTTCCGTAATAATGACCATGGTGATTCTAGGTCTCCAGTCTCATCCTGTGTCCTCACTCTTTGACCCAATTTCAGCCACAACTTATCCCTGAAGACCACTTTCTCATATAAAGCCCATAAACCCGAGAAATAAATAGATCCATTGAATCTGAATCGAAGAAAGAGATTTCCAAGGAGCTACTCGCAGAGATCCCAAAAAGACTCCTCAACTTCAGGCTCAGACTCGGTTCGGTCGACAGAACTGGGGTTCTTGGTTACGACGATCTGGTGAGAGTTGGCGCTGCCTTGGCCGAAGATTATGACCATATAAGCTAGGAAGAACTCGAACGTCTAACAGGGTAAAATTAATCTCAGCATCTCATTCACTTTGATACAAAAAGGGGGTGGAGAGAAAAGCTGTGCGAGGAAACTGACCCGGTAGATCTGGGGGCCGTACATGGCCACCAAAGCCTCTCGATTCCGGACAAAGTTGCCGTACCACTTCCGAACCGTCTCAGAGTAGTGGCGATCAAAGTTCTCTACACTATTGACTCTAAATCCGGCGGTCTCGAGCTGGTTGGTCAAGGATGCGAGCGAGGCATAAGGAACGGCGTCGGGGCAGACGTATCTGGCCATCAGGAGTCTCCATACGATATCCTCGTACTGCCAGAACTCATTCGCGCCCGCGCCCTCGAGGAAGAAGATGCCGTCGTCGGCGAGTAGGCTGTGAATGTGTTTGAAGAAGTCTGCATACTCGTCAGGACCCATGTGCAGAGCCATGGAGTTGCCGGGGCCCTTGTGCTCGGCGAGATGCGTGCAGACGATTTCCTTGTAGCCGCCTCTGATGGGAGGAATATTGGTATAATGGCCGGTATGGTTGAGACCAGTGAACGGAACGTGCGGGAAGATGCGACGAGCATAGTTGGCTAGCGCTTCACAGCCGTAGCCGATGCTGAGGACTCTGTGATACGAGTTGAGGTGGATCTTCTCGCAGATGACGCCGAGCTTGTTGTTCTCGAGTTCCTCGAGAGATTCTTGCTTATTGGTATCGCGGACAACACCGGAAGTGTGCATCATCCGGGGTCCCAGGAAGCCGCGGAGTACGCCAAGATCGAGTCTCCCGTGGGCTGGGTGGACATATCCGTCATCTGGGTACATAAGGATTAGACCTTGAAGATGAGACCTTGGTAGGATGAGAGACAAACTCACCATGAAAGCAGAGATCCTCAACAATTTTTGGGATGAGCTTGAAGAGAATGTGGTAGATGAGACCGAAGGTCAGACGGAAAGAAGCCCAGTCGTATCTCTTCTCGAGCATAGCCAGGGTGTCTCCGTTCATCTTGACGTCTCCGTCGAGGTACATCTGGCAGAAGGTGGCCATAGGGATCTTTCTCTTGCCGCGTTACGTGACATTTGCCGGATGCTTGAAGGTCATGTAGTATTCGATAGGACGACTGGAGAGGACGGTCTCACTGATGCGAGGGATGATGGCTGAAGCGATGAGCCAGATGCCGGCGATGCTGGAGACTGCTATAAAAGCGGCCAGAACGAGGTCGATGATGATTCCTCCTCCAGTGCCGAAGGAGAGGTAAAGCACCTGGAGTATGATGACGTACCCCAGGGCCAAGCTTCGACTGAGGGAAGGCATCATGGCTGGGTATATTATATGGCATTTTAGAAAGGTCGAGAGATCGGAGAGATAGGAAGCTATTTATAATAGAGGTTTCTTTAGCATGATACGGGGCTATCACCAGATCGTGACTGGCACCGGAGCGGGACTTGGAGTATTTTAATAATCCTTAGTCTCTTGTATATATTCATTGGGCGATATGTGACTGTTACTGGAGCGTAACTGATCTTGGAGCGGTCCATCAAGCGCCCCGACACTGCTTAGTTGCTCACGCATATTCACGTCACGATACGGGACTGTCGCCGGATCGTCACTGGTATTAGAAAGGAACTCGAAGTAAGCACCTAAGGTTTTCAATCAAATACGGTAGAGCTATAAGCCAGCCCTTGTCCAGTCCTCAACCTTGACAAGGGAGGATTTTCGGGCTTTCCTGTCACAAAGATCTACTCGACATCGACGATACCCGGCTTTCAAGTGAAATCAAACGATCCACTTGCGTTTTTAAATATGCCGGCAACGGTTACTGTTACCCAATGTGGCACGTGTTTTCTATACGATGCGCGACTATCACCAAAGAGGGACCTGAGATGGAACATAATTCTCTATAATCGAGAAGAAAAATTACTAGAGAGGAGAAATCTAGTAATTCTTCAGCCTCCAAGTGATCTCGCCTAAGAGACCTAACTCCAAGGGGTTATGACCCCTCATCTCGATTTCGACTTACAGAGCACCTCTTAGATCTTCAAACATGGTCGAAAACTGTCTTTGGATGGTCGTTTGATCAGAACGATAAAAGTCCTCTGCGGGCTTTCAAGCCTGCCATGCAAAGCTACTCTGTGTCAGGATGAAGGGCATTGGTTTGCCAGACTGTGTAAGCAAGAAGAAAGAATAGCCAGCCGACTTGATCAACGGAGTGACGTGGAAAGGTACGGCTTGACCTACAAGATTCATTGGCTACGTGTAGTTTGTATATGCGAGAAAAGACCCTGAGCTGCTTCCTTTCTCTGACTCTCTCTCTCACTTCACAATGCAGTCTTCCCAGAACTAAGCGAGGTAGCTTTCAAGAGGGCCAGCAGCAGCATAGTCGTACAAGGTATGTCTCTCCATATACTGTGAAAACAACTATGAATCAACTGATCCTATCTTCCACAGAAAAGTTTGCTTTGATCGGCTCTCCAAGCACACTCTGGTTGAGGAAGAACGTTTCGGGCGGAAGTTGGATGGATGTTGAAGGATTAAAGATGGTGTGGAGATGCAACCGCATGCGGGGAGCCGACAGAGGGGGGAGCACGGACATTGCAAGGGAGCTTACCCCAACTTTGGGGGCTATCTAGGTAGCTCCAAAAAGTACAAAGGGGCCATTTTGAAAATCGCTTATGAGGAGTTGGGAATAGCTTCATTTGATATCCTGAACAACAACAAAAATCCCAAAATTTCTAGCCATAGTGGGCCGATCGTCTCTCTATAGGCCATCAATCAAAATAGCGCAACCCGCAATTCTGCACTAGATCTTATCCACCATACCATTTTACCCTATAAACCAAGAGGTATATCCAAGAACCACATGCTTACACAGCTTCAACCCTGCAGATACAAACGTCCCTCCCATGGCCTCAAAACCGTCTTGCCGCCCTCAGACGCAACTCTCCCCTTGACGTCGTCGTAGTTTCCGACCCGAATCTTGGCGCCGTCGCCGGGAACCTCAACCGCCTGCTCCTCACCCGTGAAGTTCAACACCACGACGGCGCTCCGGCCCCCACGCGACTTCTTATACACAAACGTCTCCTTGTTCTCCACATCAAACAGCTCAAACGCGCCGTGCGTCAGCAGCTCGCCCTCCTCCTTGCGCAGCCTCAGCATCTCGCGCCAGAAGTTCAGCACCGAGCCCGGTTCTTTTTCTTGCTTGGCAACGTTGATGGACCGGTACTCGTCGTGGACGCGCATCCACGCGCCGTCCTTGTTGTCCGTGAAGCCGGCGTACGGCTTGTCGTCCCACTGCATCGGGATGCGCGCGTTGTCGCGGCCGAGCAGGTTGATGCCGTCCATGACGTACTTGAGCATGTCGCTGCCCTCGCCAAACTCCTTTTTAATGTCGTCGTAGTAGTTGAGGGCCTCGATATCCTTGTAGTCCTCGATGCCCCAGCTGCGCGAGACGTTGGTCATGCCGATCTCCTGGCCCTGGTAGACGAAGAGCGTGCCCGTCTGCGAGCACATCATGAGCGCTAGCATCTTGGCCGACGTCTCGCGCCACTCGGGCTTGTCGCTGCCCCAGCGCGAGACGGACCTGCCCTGGTCGTGGTTCTCGCAAAAGGCCGTCGTCCAGCCGTCGGTGCCCTCGATGAACTGCTGCCACTTCGCCACGATGCGCTTCAGCTCCGGCAAGGTCCACTTCTGCGCCTGGTACTTGTAGCCGACGCCCTGGCCGAGGTCGACAATGTCGAACTGGAAGACCATATCGAGCTGGCGGTCGGCGGCGCTGATGAACTTGAGGACGTGTTTCGGGTCCGGGGTGTGGGGGAGCTCGCCGACGGTGACGGTGTCGTAGTGGTTGAGGACTTTTGCGTTCATCTCGCGCAGGAACTCGTGTATCCGCGGGCCGTTGCAGTAAATCATGTAGGCAGGCTGCTCGTAGGCGTTCTTGTTCATAATGGGGGCGTCGCGGAAGTCGACGCCCTTGCTGTACATATTGACCGTGTCGATGCGGAAGCCGTCGACGCCCTTGTCGAGCCAGAAGCGCATGGCGTTCTCGTAAATGGCCTCGCGCGTCTCCTCGTTCTCCCAGTTGAGGTCGGGCTGCTCTTTGGCGAAGAGGTGGAGGTAATACTCGCCCGTGGGCTCGTCCCACTCCCATGTGCTACCGCTGAAGTGGCTTCGCCAATTGGTGGGAGGCAGGCGGGTGCCGTCCTCGGCGTAACGGGGTGGCTTCCAGATGTACCAGTTCCGCTTGGGGTTCGTTTTTGAGGATCTCGACTCCTGGAACCACTTGTGCTGGTCCGAGGTGTGGTTGACGACGAGGTCGAGGATGAGCTTCATGCCGCGCTTGTGGCATTCCTCGATGAGGACCTCCATGTCGCGGACGGTGCCGTAGGGACGGTGGACGTCCTGGTAATCGGAAATATCGTAGCCCATATCGACCTGAGGGCTAGCGTACATGGGCGAGACCCAGACGATGTCAGTGCCCAGGTCCTTGAGGTAATCGACCTTGTCAATCATGCCCTGGACGTCACCGAGGCCATCTCCGTTGCCGTCCTTGAAGCTGGCGGGGTAGATCTGATAGATGACGGCATCCTTCCACCAGGCTCTGCTGGCGTTGTTCAAAGTTATCGAACCCATACCGAAAACCAGTCTGACAGAGCTGTTGAAAGTCAGTCTACCTAGAGAGATTGCAATTGGGTGTAAAAGAGAGAGAGAGAGGAGGGGGGAAAAGAAGGGAGAGGGAAGTGGGACAGTAGATATGCTCAGTACAGAGTAGAGGAGCGCAGGGCAGACAGAGCAACACACAAGAACTAGCTTGCGAGCTCAAAAAAGGGTTGCGCACCTGGAAGCTCCTCGCTCTGACTTATATACATACCTCCATCCTCACAAACCGGGCCACAGTCGACCTAAGCACGGGGGCGCCATTGTCTTTCCCCGCCCCCTCTCTCGGTCTCTCTCTCTCTTTGGTCTCGCTCTGGCTCTCAAGTTGGATCCAAGTCAGAAAAAGGTGGTCGAAAGACACTGGCAATAACCGAGGCGGGACACGAAACGTCGTGCGTGTGTGGGCCACGGTGCGGAAGATCGTCCCTCTCGATGACAGGCCGGTGCATGCAAGCGCCGCATGCGGGTGGTGGCCCTTGGTCCTCCTTGGAGTCAGTCCCGAGTTTACTTGCTGCCCGCGCGGGGTGGGCGGCCACCTAATCATGCTAATTAGCTGTGTTTGCTAAGGTGCGCGTTCGACGGCTCATGGTGTGTGGGTGGTGGTGCGCGCTGAGCCGACCAATGACTTGGCCTGGAGGGAGCTCAATTCTCGCTGTAAAGTCTGGGAGAAATACCATTGGCTCCCCCCGCGCCGTGCGGATTGTTCTTGGAACCATGGTCCATGTGTGTGCCCCGCGGCGAGGTATCCGTTAGTCTTTGGGGTTGTCGAGTTCTGGTGTGGTGTGGTGTGGTGTGGTGTGTGGGAAAGTAGGTGGTGCATGGTGCTGCGTGTGTGTATATGTGTCTGCGAATAATACAGGCGAAGAAAAAGAGCGAACTCCACGCCCAACCCAGGGGCGCGGGTTGGGTTAGCGGGTAAGATAGGCGGACGGCAAAACTCTCGCTAAAATCGTAGATCGGGGCACTGCCGACCCCTTCTTTATTTGGAGAGTTATTGGAGTATTGGAGAGTCTTGGACCTTCTTTTTGTGACGGATGTTCATGTGCCATGTGCCTCTTGTGAGTTTTCTGTCTAACTAAGCTTACCATCCTGTTTACAAACCTATTACAACTTATCCGTCCAACGAAAACCACCCAACCAACCAACCAACCAACCCAGACAAGCTAGCTAGCTACCTTGCCTCAAGGTACGTAAAACTTGCGCACACTTACACCGTGAGATGATCCCAAGGATGGCCACGCAGCTTGGGCGAACTTTGAGCCGAGAAAGAGTGCTTAACATTGCCACTCTCAGCCAAGTGGTGTCAATTTACTCCCTACCCAGTACCTCCTGCCATGCTCAATTGCTCGTGGTCGCTGCTGTGCCGTTCTCCCAGAATGCCAAGCCTCCAGATGGACGATGTCTGGAAATGCAAGGAGGGGTTGTGAGTTCCAACTTCCCGCGCAAAACAAGAGAGAGTAAGGAGGACCAAGCTGTTCCTTCAACCACGACTCTTCTACACACACGCGGTCGCACACGACCTCTCTCTATTCGCGGATGCATTATCCGCTTTTTGCCTACCGCCTGCCACACCTCCGTCTGATCTACCGTCACGGGAGATTCTCCGACGACAGCTCCGACGACATGCGTCAAACCACGACTTGCTAATAATTCTCCCTCCT